TGAAAAGGCCAGCTAGCTGTCTTTGATCATAGATGCCTGCGTTCTATCTCCCGTGTGAAGTGGTATAATAAGGTGAGCAATATTAGGGTAGGAGTTAGAATTCATGCACTGGTCATTGAATTTAGTCCCGGTGGCGGAATAGTACACGAGCTAGCTTACCTTGTAACCTGAAGGTCCTCGGTTCCAACCCCATGGTGTGGGTCCCCACTGCCGATAATTCCCAAACGAGGATAAAATAATTGTCTGGCAGTACTCCCCGGTCTGTTTTCGACATGGAATTTCGTTAGTTTACTTTATGATATCAACACAGTGTGATGTATACTATATTTATATATCTTCGTGTTACTCACACACCAATCATCCTGTCATATACGATCCTTTTTTGTTTCATAAAAATTTAAATTAAAAAAAATAATAAATAATTCATTTATGTAAAATGTACTCACATTTCAAGAGATATGTATGTTATGTATGTTATTTGGTTTTGAATGAAGTGTGCATTTCGTCATTAATACTCAACTTTTTGTTACATATGCATGCACATAAGCACACACACACACACACAAACGTGCATTCAATATACTTTTTGTCGCACACCTAAAAGTTAAATGTGTATATTACCCTTCAGTTAGATATAAATAATAGATAACGAAAAACTAAAATATCTCTCACGTCATTTTCAAAATTCAAACATGAGTTCATATTTTATCTTAATTGAATTTTAAATTTTCCCGTCGATTGACAGGATCGAAGTAGTCGGTTTCAGGTTGACATGTCGGCGGCTCCTTGTGCAGATACTTCGATGATGTCTGGGCATTTAATATAGAATTTAATTTGTGGATGTTGACTAGCAGTGGAATCCAGGAGAACATGCATTTCGTCCTATTTGGGACTCGTCAGCTAGCTGGATGTAACTGTGTTTCCCAGTGAGTGATGATGTTCCCATCACCGAGGCTTGAACCCAGTGCTCTTTAGTTTCAAACGCTAATGAAATTAATATGACCCGTTGCACAGAGGTAGTTCTCGTGGCCCAAGTGGTCTAGTGGATAACGCTTTGGCGTTTGAAACTAGACGGCACTGGGTTCGAGCCTCGGTGGGAAATGCAGGTACATCTAGATGACAAGTCCCGAATAGGACGCAATACACGTTGTCCTGGATTCCACTGCTAGTCACCATCCACGAATTAAATGAGTTCATATCAGTAAGAGAACGCACTGGGTGCGTTGGTGGCACAGGGGTAGAGTGCTTATCGACCACGTAGGTAGTCTGGGGGTTCGATTCCCGGCCGACGACGCACTCCTTTATCTCGATAAGCCAGTAATAAAACTGGTAAAGAGGGAAGGTTGGGCATGAGGTGGCTAGCAACCCCAACCGTGTAAAAATAATCACCACTGCTGCCGGAACTTCAAGCCTCTAGCTTGAAGCCCAATGTTCCACTGGGAACGTAAAGGAACAAACAAAAAGGTGCACTGGGCGGGTCTTTGGTCCTGGTTTGAGACTCTTCAGTAAACATTATATTGTTGTTATCATTTCTTTGGGTTCTAAGTGAAACATAGGGCTTCAAAAACACGCATCCAGCTTGTTTGTAGTCCTCCTTATCTGATTCCGTGATTGTTCGTAATTTGTCATCTCCTCCTCTCACCATCTTCTCCATGTCACTATTGAACCCCAGGTTTGAGTCGTTGTTTCTCATTCTCAATCCACTTGAGCGTTTTCCTGACTGGTGCTTGATATCCCTGAACAGTCTTCTTAGTGTGTGCGCGTGTCATCGATCTGTCTACATTTTCTTTGACATACTTGTTAAGCAATAAGTTCTTGGTAGGTTACGTAGGTGTTACGTATGCCTAGTCATCGCCTTCCTCGACGAGCAATGTTATCGGATATAGGGTCAGGCTGGAAAAGAGCTGGCGGAGGTCAAACAAACATGGCACCAGTCAATCAAATCCACAACAGTTAGTTTAAGCCAGCCAGCCAGCCACACAGGAAGGTGTAGACTTCCTGACCGGTTGGGGTCCTCGGGACGGTAAAAACCAATGGTTGGAAACAATTGGTGACATGGCTCAAAATCGTTCTCAATGGTTGGTTGACTTATGATTTCGAATGAAATTGTTTTGTTCTTCGTTACTACTATTTATTTGTCTCACACGTCTGTTTACCGTCTCTATTATGCATTTCTTGTACTTTCTTCTCTTGATTTGTGTGCTACAAGGAGGGAGTGTGGCGACTTGAACTCACGAAAAGTCTCTGCAAGGACCGTGAACAGTGGTGGGTGACAAAAGCCAAAGAGATGGAGAAAGCTTCGAGGATAGGCAACACCAGGCAACTATTTAGACTCATCAGGGAAACGGGTGGGAGAAGACAAATCATTAGTGAAACAATCTCGGAAAAAAATGGCACTATAATTAGCTCCAAGGATAGACGACTGGATCGTTGGAAAGAGCATTATGAGGAGCAGTTTAATGGGCCCACAGCCACGCTCAACCTTCCGAACATCCAACACCTCCCTGAATGAGATATAGACACAGGTCCTCCATCCCTAACTGAGGTTACTAAAGCTGTTACCAATTTGAAACTAGGCAAAGCAGCGGGACCTGATGGAATGACTCCAGAGGTATTTTAGTACGGTGGAGACAGCTTACTGTCTGCATTAACTGAGGTACTAGGCAGCGTCTGGGAATCAGAGGAAGTCCCATCGGGTCGCTGCAATTCACTGATTATCCCCATATACAAGAAGGGAGACAAATCTTCCTGTGATGATCACAGAGGGATTAGCTTGACTAATATAGTATCTAAAGTTTTAGGCTCAATAATCATGCGTAGACTGAGTGGTGCTCGGGAGGAACAAACACGAGAGAGCCAGGCAGGCTTTAGACCAGGAAGAGGGTGTATTGATCATATCTTCACCCTACGACAGATTCTAGAACATAAGGATTCCTACCGGCGCCCAAAAATCACTATATTCCCTGACCTAAAGGCGGAATTCGATTCTGTCGACCGAGAAGGTTGTTGATGTGGTTTTGTTCTCTGAGCTGGATGGTTAAATCATCCACCTGAGCTACAAATCTTCTCTATCAGACCGAGAAGTTCTCTGGAGATGCTTTGCTGTAAATGGAATTCCGAGAAAATACATTGCACTGTTTAGGGCACTCTACTCGTACTCATACAGCCAGGTGAGGGCTTATGGCGAGTTGTCATCTGAACTGGTGACGACTAGTGGTGTCCGTCAAGGACGCCCATTATCCCCATTTCTGTTCAACTTCATCATAGATGTACTAATGGACTTAACCCTAAGTAACTTCAGCGACTCAGGGATTGACTTGCTACAATCAGGGAATAACCTCGTTGACTTAGAGTATGCAGATGATATAGTCCTTCTACGTGAGGACGCTGACAAAATCCACCAGAGTCTTGTAAACACCTTGAGCAGAAATCTACGAATGTTTGGCATGCGATTCGCTCCCCTCGTTAAATGTCAGATGGTGTTACAGGACTGGACTACACTGACTCCTAGTTTAGAAATCTGGAGTGAAGTGGTAGAGCACGTTGACCGCCTCACTTATCAGAAGACTGTGTTTGTCTACTTGAATAAGCTATAATAATGTACACGAGATATATATAAATACGTGCTGATTTCCTTAATAAACGATCTGTTTCCTAGCCCTTGTCTTCTGTTATTACACTACTACTACTAATAATAATATGTATTCGACAACCAACCATTCAATATGAGTTCTTCTCTATGGGTCTGAAACTTGATGCGCGCGTTATCGAGGGAGTTGGCAGCAACCTTCTTCTCTGTCGGTCGGAGAGATAAGATCAGCAACAAGGGATTCCGAGAAACAACCAATCAAGAACTTATTGTTCAACAAATATTCTGGATTGGATACACGCTGAGGAGACCGTTGATTAACATGGCTCACCATGCTGGCCTTCGAATTTGTAGTCGGAGTGAGAAACGATGAGTTAGTTTTAGATTCTATGGTTACATGGAGGGAATCGTTTGGGGAGGAGTTGAGAACCTCTGGGCAGTGGTTAATACCAGTTGAAGAGGTTGAGGGAGAACAGGACGAACCTGAGATGTTTTGTTGAAGCCTCATATTCCACTCGTAACCTAAGGGAATAATAAATAAACAATAGTTTGCACCGATATGGCAAGTCACCTCACTTGGTGAGTAAACCTGAATGATATAATTTTAGTTTGAAGCTTTAAATATGTTTCATTTGTGCATTTAATCGGTCAGTGATAAGTGTCTCTAAGCACAGTATGTGCTTTACTCTGTCTATGCGTAAAGTATTGTTGCAAAATTGACAGGAATTTGTACACCAACACTCTCATTCTTGCAAGTGATCTGCTTGCAAGTTGTCGATAAATTGGTGTATCTCGATAGTTGTGTAAGTGCTGATGGACGAGATACCTAGGGCTGATATCCACTAATTTCTAGCGACGTATATTGACGTCGTCATAACATCAGTCTGGCTGTCAAAGGTCGGGATTACAATGTTTCGGTGCGAGCAGTCTTGTAATACGCCAGGGAAACTTAACCTCTTTGACAACTGTGTGTATTCGACCATTCCTAGAATAGCTTGCGTTCGATGACATCATCGTGTAACTGATTCTGAGGTTCGGTAGCATGTGTTCTGACACGCTAGAGGTCAGCATTCATTGAGTGTGGTGGTCACATGAAAACAACCGGCTTTGGTGGTGATGGTGGCGTGGAGATGCACCACACCTATCACTCCCAATGGCTCCTATACTGCGCTCTCTGTGGATAGTAAAAGTGGAGAGGTGGTTAGTCTATGACTTGGCGCTGTGGATTGTTAGTTTGGTAAATTGTGACTCGCCGATTGGGCGGGGCGGGGGGGGTTCCAAGCGGTTGTTCGATTCGATAGCTGTGAGACGTCAAGTTTTCTTTTGCTTACTAATAATAATTCACGTTATCAGACTACTTATTGCACATATCTAGTAAAAATTGATCCCCTTTTTATATCGATACTTTCAGTTTATCCTATCTGAACCAGCCTTCGACTATCTACGTACAAAAGAATCCCTAGGATACACTATATACCTTCAATATTGGCTATCTATGCCTGGGAGTACAAGTCATTCAGGCATAAGTTTAATTGCATGTAGTCCTGCGAGTAAATTTTCAGTGAATTTTGTTGCTGGCCGATTAACTGCTTTCTGGCGTCGTATTGCTCCAAGGATTATTGCTGCTATGCCACCGGAAAATTTTAAAACTTCTGTAAGTAGTTAGCGTTGCTTTTTCTGTTCTGTTTTTTTATTCTATTTCATTCTATAATATTTTTTCTGTTGACAGTATGAAAGTGAAAGGACGTAACGAACCTTCCGATAAGGAAAAAATCACACTATATTTATACATTTCCCTAGCCACATTAGAGTTCGTTCAGGTCAGAGGATAAAAAATTGTTCTGATTGGTTGGCAGTTGACCCAAGGTTTTACAAATTGTCCAATCAGGTTTTTTCATGTCTAAAACGTAAACTTAATCCAGATTTAGGGAAATAGACACTTTTACTTCTGTAACGATTGATTTAAAATGTTGATTTCAATTTTTTGACCATATCCTATCGATCTGCATTACTCTACAATACCTGCTTTGAATAAGGTGAACATTTTGTTTTAGAAACAACTCGAGCGAATTTCAACTTCTGTTTCCTGTGGTTTTTGTGTCGATTGATTTCTAAAGTAAGACAAAGGCTATTGGAAACCCGGGAGTGCCGACTGACAGGTAGCTGTGTTCTCTCCCCTAACATCACAGAGCTCTTCAGCAGTACGCATCCGTAACTTTAATCATCCAGAATCGAACTGAAGACTTTCATGTACTGTTAAGTGAGCTAAATTGAGCATTCAGCTGCTTGCGGTGGAATTCTATAGCCGATGAATTCTACTTTTTGTAGCTACCACTAGCGAAAAAATCACCGGTGAGTATCAAACTTCATGAACCTTAGAACGCACACCCGATATCTATGGTCGGCCTGCAAAATTTGCTCTACCGATATCCATGCTGAAAACTCCATACTTGTACGAAAAATACAGTGTGGAATCAAGCTGTAATCAAAAATAAAAAAAATAAAATAAAACTGCAGGCGACTTCATCCTGTAGTCCAGTTAGTAGTAATCATTATCATTGTCACCTTTAGTTCCTAGAGGGACATATAGCCTCAGCCGCACGTCTCCATTGCCTTTGGTTCTCTGCCAACACTTTCACCTGACTCCATGTATGCCTACATACTTTCATGTCTTCTTCACTTAACCTCCTCCATGTTGTCACCCTCGCACTGATCACCTACTTACCTCTTCCCATTCGGTTGGGTTCCACTCAAGCAATGGCCAAGGATGTGATGTTACTCACTTGATGGTTTGATTTCTCAGACTATGGCTGATCCACATCCATTTCATCCTGCTTATATGTTGCACATTTAGTTTCTTCTGGGTTGGTTCGTTCGTGTCCAGAGATCCCTGTTGCTGATGTTTTCTTGCCGGCTATCTGATCTTGAGTGGTAGTGAGCGAAGACAGTTAGCTTTTGATGAAGGTGTGTAGTTTGTTTGAAATGCCCTTCGTGAGTCGGAGCGGTGCCAAGTCTCTGATCCGTATATTAGCAGTGACTGACCTTACATTGGAGTTGGAAATCCGGATACTTTTCTTCATACTGAGTACTTGAGAGTAATGAAAACTTGCCTTGCTTTCCCGATCCTCGTTGCATTGATATCCTTATCAGTTCTATCCGTCTGTACTTGGAACGATGCTCCCTAGGTCGATAGGTAAAGGAGGTTGCTTCTCTCAGATTTCTCCCACTTATACTGGCTGATTGTTGTCTGTTATTGTTGTTGTCGCTGTTGGCCAGGAATCGTCGCCACCTCTGTTTTCTTCATGTTCACCTGAAGGAAGTCCTATCTTTGATGCCTCTTCTGCCAACTTGTTGCTTTTCACTTGCATATCTCCCAGTTTGTGAGACATCAGACATATATCATCAGCGATGTCCAGAACCTCGAAGGTCTTTGTGTGGGTCCATTTTATGTCTGTTTCCTCGCTGCTCACAGTTCGTCTGTCGTATTATCCAGTCTACCGACATCAGTCAGGAAAATCATTGGAGATAGTAGACAGCCTCATTACTAGTAAATACTACATCACTTTTCAAGTGATGGTTTGCAGGTATTAGATTAATTTCAAAATAGATAATGAACTGACTTCAGTTAGTGAGAACCATTGAAACAACAAAGTACTCGTCTCAGTTTGGAACTCTTCAGCAGTGCACACTCATAAGCTAGCTCATTGGTGATTGAACTCCAGGAAATTCAGGCTGCAAAATGAACCTGGTTGATCATAGCGCAGACGTTATAGACAGTGCAAAATCCGTTAGTTTATTTCCTTGATTGATGATCTCTTGTGCGTCTTTGGCTTTTTTTTCTTTTACAGGTGGAATCACTGATATCCATCTATCAACTAGAAGATCCTAATATGGTCACAGAATTCGATAGGAATTGGGATGAAATTATGCAGACTACAGCGAATTTTAATTACAGAGAAGAATGTGTAAGTGTGTAGCTGACAACTTTATTGTACCGTACTGTACTGTACTCATTGATTGATTGATTGATTTTAGTCACATACAATTTTTTAAAGTTTTATTCTTAATGCTTAATTGATTGCCTATCTTGACGTGTGTCGCACCCACTGGGTTAATATTACTACTATTATTATTCCCTTGGATTCTAATGGGCTAATACAAGACTTCAGCACTACATCTCCATTTTGTACTTTTCCCTGCAGTTCTCATCATCTGTCGCCACAAATACGCATAAGCTTTCATATGCTCCATGTTACCTTTGTAGTTACTCCCGACTCACCGTCTTCCACTCCGATTCCAGTCGAGTAATGACCTGGTGGGCGATATCACTTGACAGTTTTCTCAGTGTGTGTGTGTCTGGTCCATTTGTTGAGGAATAGGTTATTGATTGGTCTATTCTTATAGAATTCCCTGATGCTAATCATTTTCGACCACCAGCTCTCTGGTTTTCAGTACAGAGCGAAAGTAGCGCTGTTGATAAGATTGAAATACTTTCGGTTTCGCGTGCGCCAAGTTTCCGACTTATATGCAGTAGAACTGACTTGACATTGACGTTTCTTTATGCTAACTAAGATTAGTAGATTCCTTAACCGGTTTTTTCGTGTATGACGTCGATACACACTTGAATAACCGAATGTTACGTCCGGTTCTTTTTTTTATAGAAGATTGAATTTCTCCACCTCCTAGATGATTGCTAAAATCCATGAAACCGCTTCTGTGTGAAGCTTCCCGCTGATGAAAGACTTTAATTTTTCAGACATTTACTTATTTTACATTACACTTATGTACCCGTGTCAAAAAATTAAAGAAGACTGTGCATGACTGGTCTGAAACGATGCTTAATTTGAAGATTGACTAATTTGTTTATTTGAGGGTTGGTGACTGTGGGAGTAGGTGAGATGTTACGTTAACACAAATGGACTGATTACTGACAAAGTTTCATCATGGATATAAAAAGCTCGCATGTCATTTACCAACTTGCGTTAGCTCAGAGGAAGTTTACACTGCGCAGAAATTCGTTGTGTCCTTCTTTACGGCCGTGGAAGATATGAGGAGACTAGCTAACTATCCTTTTTATTCCTTTACGTTCCCACTGGAACATAGGGTTTCAAGTCAGAGGCTTGAAGTTTTGTTAGGAGTAGTGCTTATCTTTACGGGATAGGGTTTCTAGCCTCACATGCCCAACCTTCCCTCTTTACCAGTCTTATTACACGCTTAGCGAGGTAAAAGAGTGCGTCGGCGGCCGGGGATCAAACTCCAAACCACCTGCGTCGTTGCTGAACATCCTACCGCTGTCCCACCGACGCACGCTGTCTTTAGCCACATATTTTAGCGTTCCATCCCCTTCGTTAAATGATCTAATTTCGGGTGAGTAATATCGAGGTTCGACATAGAATGAGTTAGATAAGGAGGGGGTAAGTCAATCGATTAAGACGGCTAGGACACGTGTTATATGCATGTTGAGCCACCACCTTTGTTGTCAAACAATGTGCTTGTTAACTGACATAGGATTACGTTTCAGAAGAGTTAGAGGCCGAAAAATGAAAATATGCTATCGATTCATCAAGTTTTTGACAGTTTGTTTGATTCATATTGAGTAACTCAGATTGACTGACTCGGTGCTTCAAGAGGTTAAGAATCAGTGACTGGGAACTGTTGATGATATAGCTGAAATTCGTCTTCAGTAATGCAGGTGCATCTAGTAAGTGCTCGTGATTCTCCGTGAAACTATTTCCGACGCACAACTCATCACTTTCCACTGGGGTTCCACTTCATGGTATGACATCACTTAAATATCTTTTTCTTAGTGTGTGTGGTGAGAGCTGTCTGCAAGGAGAAACTGTAGACAACAATTCACATCAATGTTTACGTCTCGAATTAGGCTCAGGAGGGAAAACAAGAACAAAGCCTAACCTTGAGGAACTCAACAACCAATCACAACAGACTTAACGTAAGCAGATACGATTCGCAGACCAGACTGTCTAAGAAACGGCAACAAAGAGATGACAGGATAACCTTCAGTAAGAAAACAACCAATCAGAAGACGTTGCTTCTTTGCTAACAATAACGAACAGTAATGTACATGAAAATCTATAAATATCTCTTGATTTTCTCGATACACAATCTGCTGTCTGATTCTTGTCTTCTATCGTTACATGTGTATGTCCAGTCTATTCGAATTTCCGTCTGCATATATTTATGTGTTGGGCAGTAGATCGTAGGTCGTTGAACTGCCTACAAGAATGCCTTGTTGCTTTTTCAGTATATATATATAGCATACAGCATAATATTTTAACTGTTACAAGTACAATACACATGCTCTACTATTCTTGTTTATATATTTAGGTTAAAATTCTGTCAACAATTACTCAAGAAAGTTTATTAAGTTTCTTTTTAACGGAGTATTTGGATACGAAAAAGCAGCGTTCATTATTTATTCAGGTGAGAGTCTTATTATACACTCAATATATATATGCATGGTTGTTATGGTATTACTTTTTGCTCCACTGATAACGACAAAGTTTCCTGATGTTCTAGTGGGCGAGAAGTTGTGACCAGGGGGTCCACCCGGTCACCAGTGAGGACAGATACTCACTCGTCGATAACACTTTCCAACTGGTGTTCGCTCTAAAGTCACCAGTTGGTAAGAGTTAGGATTCATGAGCCATTAAGTCGATTGGGTCCCAGTGGTTGAATGATCTACGAGTCTAACTCGTAACCAGAAGATCCTGGGTTCAAACCTGGGTGTGTGTGTACTGTACCGCCAAAGAGTCCCAAAGTAGGACGAAACAGGCCGTATTTGAGTTTCGAATGGAACGTGGGGGCTTCAATCTTTCAGCTTTTGGAGTTTCAGTAGCTGTAATATTTTGTATTTATCGGACAGGGTAGCTATCGTCACGTCTAACTTTCTTTCTTCTCCGAGCTTAACAGCTGCTGGTAAGGTCCATGAGGTTTAGGAGTGTGTTGACTATATGCTGAACCCTTACCACTACCTATGAATGAATCACATCCCTAATGGTATTTTAATGGTAACTGGGTCATTTATGTAATTACCTTTAAGATTTGAGATTCTAGGCCATAAGTAGTGTTAAGCGTCTAGTCATTTTTACCTTCAACGTCCCAGTTACGGTTAACCCAGGTAGGTCAAAGGTTTCCTCTCGACTGCACCCAGCCGTCTAACATCAATTCGGAATACACTTTGTTGGGGATACTCTTAAAATGGTGGTCACATTGCAGACGTGACTGTTAGAATTCAGTCAGCACTGAACAGGGGATTAAATGTATGACACTAGTTACTTTCTACTTTCCAATACAGTCCTACAGGAGGTCATTCGCGAGTAACTTCTGTGGCTGCAGCACTGAGTGACATGGGTTCTCTCTCATTGGGAATAGAAGTCCCTGCTAGCTTGTAGATACACCTTTTCTGACTGTTGAATGCCAACAAGCAGAAAACCTAGGTCAGACGAGGCTTCTTGCCGATTACCTCCAACTATCTAATAACAATTTCACTCAATTAAATCCCTACATACCAATACTTGAAAACCAATGAGATGTTCACTAGCGACTAGCCTTATTCAGGCAGTTTAACCTAGGGCCTTAGTGGGAGGAGGCGACTAGTAGTTCAGTTTCTTGTATGACGTGTTGTGTCTTTGTTTCTGAGTACAGTCGAGCGGTATTCACGATCTCAACACACCTAAGTCCTAGCATCTGGCTGGGAAACACGCCCTCTGCTGTTACATCTCTGTTCCCCAGCAGTACGACTTCGCCCACAGACCCCCAGCATAGTGTAAAAGAGAAATTCTTACACTATGCCGGTAACTGCTTTTTGTCTAAATCGCTATCCTAACAATCTTCCTGGCATGAAAAGACTTGCACAAACAATAGTTCCAGTCAGTGTAGCTTGTTGGATCATTGCGATGTGCGAACCCGTTCGCTTTCTCCACAGGATTGCTTGCGTTTGATGGAATCAGCGCGTGAGTAATTCTGAGGTGTGTTTGAACACAGTGGAGATCACCATTCATTGAGTGTCGTCATCTGGAAACACTAGCTCCGGTGGCTTGGACATGTGCTGCGAATGTCATCCCAGAGGCTTCCGTATAAGTCTCTGTTCGCTAGCCCTGGGACGGGATGGAAAAGGAGGAGAGGTGGTCATTCCATGACGTGGCGTCGTGGGATGAAGGATGTTTGTGCTAGATTAGCATCGGTTGGTGCGTCACGACTCCCTGGTTGGAGTCCACAAGATAGCTCGAAGCGTTATCGGATATGGCTAAGAATCGTAATCAATGGCGAACGTGTTGGAATTTCCTTCTTTCTTCCCTTCCCGATGATAGTTAACGAATACTCTTTGAACTTGTTAAGCATGACTGTTTTCCTGCCAGATGAAGTTCTTTATCCGTTCTCTACTTATAATGTTTACTTCTAATCTATGTTGTTTTATTAGTATTATTGTGTGGCGCATCTTTCTTGGTGCCATATTGTACCAAGTTTTTTCTGCGTTTAAATAAATAATAATAATATTCTGTAAGCCCGATCGCCATATCAAGGTAGCAGCTATCTGACTGACTGACTGGCTGGCTGGTTGGTTGGTTTCAGCATAGAACTTTGCACAGATGTTCAGCAGTTCGAGTCGCATCAGCATCTCTATTCTATTGTTTTTTGTTGTTGTTTTTTTAAAATATAATATTGTTGTTTCTTTTTGTTGTCATTTTCAGATTGATTCAACCGCCACACCAGATATGAATGCTAATACTAACGTATCATCAAATTCGTATCTCTTAAATTTTGATGTTATACAAACTGATGATAAGTCAATTAAAGAAGAGTATACGAGTTATTCAAGTGTTGATGTAACCAGTGCATTAACCACTTGTGGTTATGATGACAAATTAGTCAATCAATTCTTCGATAATCATAAAAGCAACCATGATAATAATAATAATAATCCCTTGGATAAAAGTCTGCTCGACAAGGATGAACCTATCGTTTATATTAATAACTTGTTTAAATTTCGGTCAAATTTACAATTTAAAACTGGTCGAATTGCATAAAAATGCTAGCGAATATTTCGTCGGGGGTGATGATACAAATTAACCCTACTATGTGCTGCTTTGTCTGTTTGCTCTGCTTGCTTGTCTGTCGGCCTGCCTGCCTGCCTTCTTTCTTTCTTCGTTATTCTGATGAATTCTTTTGAATATTTTGAAATTTATATTTTTATACATATCATCGAGCTGATGATTACGATGGGGATGGTGACGATCATGTGTGTGTGTGTTCTTCTGTGTGATTGTACGTGAAAATTACACTGTTCTTTTTATTAACGATACGACGGTTTTCTATGCTGACGAAGTTTTAATTTCAGGATGTATGCCTGTGTGTGTGTGCGTGTGTGTGTGCGTGGGTGGGTGGGTGGATGGATGGGAATTGAGTGACACAATAGACGACCGAGAGTGTTTTTTAACTACCCTTTTTTCTTTTTACGTACTCAAAACTTCCTTTTTTCTATAGTCTGATGTGTATTGGTTTCTGTATGTTCCTATATGTGTGCATAGGAAAAAGATATAAACTGGAATGGATAAATTCTCTGATAGATTGTTCTGATTTCTTACATAATATAAGCATGCAATGTACGACTGGTGATGAACACGTTTGATGCACTATAGGGTGGTGGTGGTGGCGGTTGTTCTTTCTTTCTATTCCTTTACGTTCCCAATGGAACACAAGGCTTCAGGTAGGTTTCTGTAGCAGTAGTAGTGATAATTTTACAGGATGGGCTTGCTAGCCTCACATGCCCAACCTTCCCTCTATGCCAGTCTTATTACTGGCTTATCGAGGTAAAGCAGTGATAAAGGAATGCGTCAGCTGAGAATCGAACCCCGGACCACCCACGTGGTCGGCGAGCTCTCTGCCGCTGTGGTGGTAGTTGTTCAGTGTAGTAGAATGCTTGCCAGCCACTCAGAACAGATATTCTGATTCGACTCTTGACCTGGTGCACTCGTAATCCGGACAGTCAACACTCCCTAGTGAAGCTTGGAGAAAGCTTGTGAAGGCCTTCACTCACCCACCCCCAATTAAGGAATTTATGTTTATGAAAAACATATGCTAAGTAATCTCTTGTTACGCAATATGGGGTGGTGTAATTTGATAATAATAATAATAGTTGAAAACAATTAGTTCCCTTTATGAATTTAGATAAAGCAATAAGAAGACGTAATTTGTCTGAATCGTGTAATGTATTTGCACGCACAACACATTTCGAACAATCTGATCACACACGGACTTGTCATAGGAATATATATGAAATTAATAAAGAGGTAAGAGGTGGGAAAATACACAAGTTAGGTCAAGTTAGAAGGACATATTCAAGGTCAAAATAACAATGAAGACCACTAAACCAGATAGCAGAGGTAATAGTACATCTGCTATGGTATCAAAACAAAATTTACCAAGGAAGGTTTAATGTGATGACGAATTGTTTTTGAACGCATAAAGGTGGCTTAAACTTTCTAATTGCCAGCTATGGCTTCCACAAACTTTAAGATACGCCTCAAACACGTTTTATAGATAGGTTTAAAAGATCTGTTAACGTCGACTTTATGTCCTGTCTCTATAATATGTTTCGCAATAGAAGAGCTGGGTCTCCTGTTCTCACCGTTAATACCTTCTGAAGATTCCATTTGTTTCTGGAGCCATTTAGGGATATGTTCTGAAGCCCTTACTTGCAGAGATCGATGAGTCCTCCCTATGTATGTATGTGTGTCCACATGTACATTCAAATTGGTAAATACAGTGGGATGTGACGTCATTTTTCGCATGTTCGAAGGGTTTAGATAGATATAATGGCTTTACATTCTCTATTATTATGATATTAGCTGCATAAGACGTCTTTTTAACAACAGCGTTCAGCCTTTGTCTAGTTATCAAGCTGCTTTGATGTCCCATATAGGGTAGCTTGATGTACACATCTTTCTTAGGGGCGAGTTGAAGAGTGGGTCTTGGAGTTCAATTGACTACTTTATATCTCCTGATGAACTTGTCTGGATAATTGTTATCAAACAGAGTTTGTGTCAATATTCTTTCTTCTTCATCAAGCGTGTCTTCAGTGCATATTCGTCGGGTTCTACTGAAGAGGCGCCTTACTAAGGCTCTTTTGTACCGAACAGACAGAAACTGTAGTAATTAAGATACTGTCCTATCCAAGTACGTTTTCTATAAATACATCTTTTTATCGACCCGTCAAGCCGTCGACTAAGCAATATGTCTGGGAAAGATAAACAGTTATCTTCCTCCACTGGATTACTGGACACCTGCTTTTGTTGTCCTATTTTGGGACTGGCTCTTCATCAGTAAGCACACACACTGTGGAGTTGGAACTCAGGACCTTCTGGTCACAAAGCAAGCTATCCCTTAGACCATTAAGCCACTCTGACCTGATCCAATAACCAGTCCATGAATTCCAACTTCTCCCGATTCATGATATAGCGTGACAACTTCGCTATGTCTTCTTCGAAATGAGTTACTGCCGTCAATCTTTCCTCGTGCCGGTCAAGTCCTCTTTGAACAAGCGTTATCCGGAAGTTTCTGGAATTTTGGTTAAGTTCAGTGATGCCTGGGTCAAAGAAGGGACAGAGCGTCTTGGAAGCAAACAGGAAAGTAAGTCATGTTGGCTGGTCTGCTACTTGTAACAATGTGTCTGATGTTAAGCATGACATGGTTGGTGTTACTGTTTCGCCGTTCAGGGATAATAGGAACATCAAACTCCCTAAATTTGAACCACGGTGTTTTGATGGAAACCCAGCTGATTATTTACAATTTGTAAAGGAGTTTGAGATCATGCTGAATAGTTTTCTATTAAATGATGAATTGAAGTTAATGTATTTGATGAGGTATTGCACTGGAATTCCTGCAAGAGCTATACAGTGCTGTAAGTTTATGAGGCCAAAAGAGGGCTACTACGAGGCTATGAGCATGCTACGTCAAAGGTTTGGAGGAACTTCGACGATTGTAGAGAAATTATTCGAGGCTGTTATGGGTAATGGTAGTCAACTACAAGATGACTCCAAAGCACTTACTGAGTTTTTGGATAATCTGTTGATTTACAAGAATGCATTGATTTCGATGAATTGCATGAGTGACCTCAACTCGAGTTATATACTAGAAGTAATAGCAAGACGCCTACCTATTCAACTGCAAAGGAAGTGGGTGAAGATAAGCTCCCGTATGGAGGATGAGGGTATCGAGCCAAAGTTCGATGACATTCTGAAACTGGTAAACAATAGTGTCAATCAATCTATGAGCAAGTTTGCCAGTATATTGCATCTCACCCCTAGAATAGAGCAGTCTGAGAGCAAAATGCAATCATTGATGACGAAAGGGTCTCAGAGAGGTGGATATCGAGAAGGCTCCATGATGTCTAGTAATGCATATGGACCTAGTGAGTGTAACAGGTTTCGTAGTACATCCTCAACAGATAAGTTACAAGATGCAAGACAAACACGGTTGTGTTTTACACGTTTGCAAGAGGTGCATACAAAGATGAACTCTGAACCAGTGAGCAAGTTTTGTGATAAGCTTAATGTGAAATCCAGGTCTGACCCCGAATTGTGTGACGATAACGGTGCGGTGAAGAAGTCTGTAGTTGCAACTAGTAATCCATTGTTGAATAGAGTGTCACAGAATAGAGTTACTGCTTCAGAGTGCAGTTCTGACTCTAAAAGCTTACAAAGTATGACTAGTCAGAGTGAAGTTATAAAACCTTTAATGATTTGTGAGGAGGAACCGAAATTGTCTACTTCTGTTATTAAAGAGTTTGAAAATGATGAACTTGACGGTAAATTGAATATATGTGATAATGATCATGATAGTGCAGATTTGTCTTTGGTTGATCATGATGAGATGAGGGGAATGCCTACTACTGCTAAGTTAAATAAAGGTTCTGTACAACTACAACGTGAAGTAGACTTGAATGCAGATGCAGTTCCAGAAGGTATGGATACTTGTGAGACCGTCAGTGTAATTGATCAGCGTGAAGTCCACCTATCATCAGATGATAGTGCTAAACCTGAGCTGATAGTGAAAGACAGCAGTGGTGGTAGTCTTGCAGTTAGACAACTATCTGAAAGTCGATCAACAACAGCTTCTGATCCACCGCTGAGTTCATCAACTTGTGTCACTCAGTCGTCGTTGGTGTTGTCATCCACAATGAAACAGTCGCCCATCAACTCAAGTATCTTGTGCAATGACTATGATAGTATTGGTGCATTTGAAAAGACGAAAGATATTGGTCAGTTTAGTGAGGATAAGCCAAGCGTGTACGAGAGAGTAATTGTTAAATTGACTTGCATGAATAAAGGTATTTCAAGTTCCAAGTTACTATTTGAATGCTATTATCTTTGGTGTAAATTACTCTGTTTCTACGTTTGGTTGACCAGATACGTCGTATGTTTGTTAGTCATCTATATTCTAGGAAACAATGACATGGGCGTGTTACCGTTCAGATTTGAGGATATCGATGATACAAGGAAGTCAGCAAATGAACTCTGCGACGATTCGCCAACCTAGGGCGTCAACCTGAGAAGGGTTGTAGGCGTACTGCTGTAAGTCCTACAATTCTTCAAAGGGTAGCGCATCAATGAGCAGTCCAATGTGCTTGGTGTGTGATTTTGTACATATGTTCATGTTGTATATACTGAATTGATATCATCTGTCATCTAGCTGTTGGTAATTCTGTTTGTGTCCGGACGACTTCCACTTGGATCATCAACCTGAGAAGGAATGTAGGCGTACTGCTGTAAGTCCTACAGTTCTTCAAGGGTAGTTCGTCATACCAGAATCCACAACATTTGATGTATTGATTGTACATATCCTTGTGTTAAATAATTGTGTGAGTTCCAATCATCGTAATTGTTGGTTAGTCTTGATTGTGTCCGGACATTCCACAACTTACAATCGTCAACCTGAGAAGGGTTGCAGGCGTACTGGTGTAAGTCCTGTAGTACCCCTATACCAACCGTAAACATGCTTTTCAATCTAATTTGTATACTTGCATTATATGTGTATACAGACCGATTTTATATGTACTTCGCAAATACTTGTCAATTCACTGTTGAATATTACCTTGACACAATTTCGAATTTGACGGCTGAAATTATCCGTAACTTATCAAGGTCATTGGTGGAGTGAGACGCTCGAAGGTCATTTTCGTCCATTTTAGTCGGCCATGTTGGATCGCAGTTCCATAGCTGTTCGTTTACGCGTTTGTTGTTCTGTTTATCCTGCCGTTATACACGACTTATCTTGTTGCGTATCGTTCAGAAATGTTGCGTTTCACCTCATTTTTTGTTTCCGTTACTGTTAAAATGAATTATTTCTTTGGTTTCGAAAGATTTCACGGCAAAGTTTAAGAATGGAGTCCCAAGAGATGCGAACGCACAATGACCTTGAGCCGATCAATCCAAAAACGGAGGAATTTTGCATAAATTTTAACGTATATTTACACAAAAATGCATGAAAAAAAACATTAAACAGAATTTATTTCTCTGATATGACTTAAAAATACGTTCCAGTTGCGATGAAGAGTATCAGTTGCTAATTTGGACTAGTTTCTGTAGATGTATTCACCAAAGAGACTGAAGGTGTGCTGTTTTGGGAATGGTTCATCTCTCTTCTCTTTCTGTGTAGTCCTCTCCTGAGCCCTCGGTTTCGTTACTATGGTTCCAGTAAGAGCATTGGCGACTACATACAAGGGAAATAATAATAATAATGATTTACTTTATTCCAAAAACAGTACTTGTGATACAGATTGGAATTTTCAGCATTAATCACAATATTGCATCTAATTTCCTCAAATTATAAATAAAATTAATCACACAGAAAAATTTCCACATTTACAATAGAGGTAGTGTCAAAAACATGCAGCATATAAAATGGAAATAGCAATAATAATGATAACAGCTAGGGTAATAATAATAATAATACAAGTGAAAATTGCCGTTGGCTTGTGCCACACAGTATTGTCAATGTGGTATAGAAATCCTAACATGTTTAAAAATATTGAATATAATGTTCTCTTTACATGATATGGTGAAGGAAAAAACAAAGATTACAGCCGTCATGGAGATAAGTTGGTGTTTGCAATTATGAGAGTAAAACAGAGAATTAACAGGACCATAAATATAATAGAAGTAATAAAAGTAAAACTTGAAGGTATATAAGGATGGATGGAGGAAATTGTTTATTTACTAGATGAAAGAAGGTTAGTTAATTCTTGCCTGACACTATTTTCATCACATAAAATACGTGCCAAGTATGGTATCATAGAATTCTTATACTTAGACGTGCGAGCATACAGTTTTCTGAAGTTACTCCTTGTTCTACCTGAGGAGATGCAAGGTGAAAGCTGAGGGTAAAGCGGATGCTCCAAGTCAGACAAAATCCCTTTAGCAAATTTATTGCACGAAGTCAAATGCCTATCGACAACGACGTTAACTATGTGGTCCACTGGGACACCACTCACTCTACTGACAGTCTTCAGTATTCTACGAATTGTGACATAGTCTTTTTTAAGCAAACCAGGAAAGAATAAGGGTGAGCAATAAAGAAGAATAGGTAGGATGCAAGAGTTTACGAACTGTAGGATGAGGGGTTGAGTTATACCCGAGTGTCTTAACTTCTTAATGTAAAATGTCAAGCGGAATATTTTACTGGAGATTGCTAAGACATGGGAAGACCAGGAGAGATCAGAAGAGAGAATGAGTCCAAGATACTTAATTTCTGATTTGATTCCAATATCATTGTCGTCAATTTTACAAGTGTCATGAGAATCGATGACTTCTTTTAACTGTCGTTTACATCTTAAGCTGAAATCAACAGTTTGACACTTAGAAGGATTCAGTTTAAGACCGTTAGACTCAGACCATTTGCTGACTTCCGATAGAAAGCTATTTATTTTAGTACAATCTAGCTGGGAGTTAACAGCCATTGAAACCGTTAAATCATCAGCATATTTCACAAAGTTTATTTCATCAGAGTGAGGCAAGTCGTGCAAGAAGAAAGAAAAAAGAAAAGGAGAAAGAACAGCACCTTGAGGGACACCAGCTTCAGTAGGCAATGAAGTGGAGGACTTCCCTTTATATACGGTGTACTGCTTTCTATCTGAGAAATAGGAATGCAACCAGTTAACAGCCCAACATTCTGTTTGACTAGCAGCAAGTTTATTTAATAAGATGTCCCTAGGGACCGAGTCGAATGCAGATGTATAGTCTAGGAAGGCGCAACGAACAAATTTAGCCCCCTTGTCTAGACTGGAAGCAATGTTATGATATAAGACGGCAGCTGCATCTAAAGTGCTTCTACTGTGCTTATAGGCAAATTGTTTAGGGTCATTAAAGGATTTAAGCGAAGGTTCAAGACTAAGTAAAAGTAATTTCTCCATAGTTTTCAAAAAAGGAGACGTAATAGCAATGGGTCTAAATTTGACACATGCTCCAGTAGAAGATTTAGGTATGGGTACAACTTTAATGTCCTTCCAAACGGCAGGCACAATATTATCGGAAAAAGATTTGTTAAATAGATCAGTAAGAGGGTGACACAGAATATCAGAACATTTTTTAAAAATAATACTAGGTACATAATCGGGACCTAAGCTCTGGGAAGGGTTTAGAGACTTGAGGCACTTTTGAACATCATTTGTGTTAAAACCTGGAAAGGGGCTATTATTAACACAAGTGATGCTGGGAAGCATGGCATTTGAGGGAGAGTAAATAAAAGATTTGTTAAGAGTACATACATCAAAAGAATATGGAATATTGTTTATCTGCTTACCACCAGTGATTTCCTTAAATAGTTTCCACATATTAGAAGGATTTTTGCAGGACATGAATTTCTGGTTATATATTACATTCAACCTCTGCATTTCAGACTTAATTAAGAAGTTAGTTCTTTTTACACCAATTTTATCTTTGATTTTATATAGTTTTTCCTTCTCTCTACGAAGCTTTTTAAGTTGAGGCGAGGAGAAACGGTCAAATTTGACGAATAGTGTTTCTTTTGGACAACAGATTTCAAAACAGAATTTCAGATAGGATGTAATATTAGAGATATTGTCATTAAGTGAATCAACATTAAACAAATCCCATCTTGTGTCACTGAGCATGTTTCTAAGATGATGTACGTTCTCATTTGAGTAGCATCTGTGAACAACTTTCTTAGACAAGTTTGAGAGGGCTTTACTGTGTAACTTTCCGTAAATTTTGGGTAAGACTCGTACAATACAATGATCAGAATTGAAGAGTGGGGCTCTTTTACGAGCTTCGTATATTCCAGAATCATTTACAAATACTAAATCAAGTGAAGTATTTTGTCGAGTTGGGAAATTAACAACATTTGCATGGCCCAGCAATGTAATAAAACTGCAGTCGCTGGAGTTGAAGTCGCCGGTCACTATAGATAAGGAGTTACCAAACGAAGCAGCAGCAAAAATAGTGAATTCATCAGCGAAGATAGATAGTTCTGAGGGACTGCAACAAGGTGTGATATAGATATTTGTGACAAAAATGGAGTTGTACTTAGGTAAGTGTTTAGGTCGACATTTTACAGTTATACAGTCAATATTGTCATTTGAGAATTTGAAGCAGACGTTGTTGGCAGTAGACCAGTGAGAATTAATAAAAGTGGCAACACCACCACCTCTCTTCTTCTTCGAGCTGCATCGGTCTTGTCTGTAGATTGTGAACCCACTTAAGGAGACTAAATTGTCGTCATATGAATCATGGAGCCAGGTCTCTTGAAGAGTGATTACACCAGTATTACAATATACATTTGAGTATAATAGAGAATGCAAGTAGTTAATCTTGTTCGATAATGACCTGCAATTTGTGCTCATAATCACAGGAACAGTCATCTGATGCATTGGAGTACACTTTAATGATCTCTGCCAACCTCCATGATGCTTTTTCTTAACGTTATTATATACTCGTAAATCAAAGGGTTGAAGACATTTTAAATAATCGCGAGAGTAAGTAATGCGACTTGGATACATAATTGAATGATTAAAACAAAATAAATCCGAGGAAATAGATGCAATATGTAGGATGGAAATTTTGGGTGAGTATATACGTTGTCTCGTGTTATATTTTCCGCGACTAATTTTTTTTCGTCTTTCATTGGCTAGAATGGTGGCGGTCAATTGGAGTTTGAATTGTCCTTGGGTGCGTGCTGTCGGGTGCTGTATTTGCGTGGTTGTGTTTGCGTCGTTTGCCAGCATATTTGATTACTGTAAACGTGTATGAAACTATTGTAACGCTTTGTTTTTCTTTGTTTGTGCATGTACTAGGCATTATTTGTCGTACAATTCGTTGTTTGGTCTATTGGTTGCTTGCGATGTCAACGAACCGGTGGGTTCTTGTGTTTTTCTGTAATTTAGGTTATACGTGCGGCATTTTCTTGATGGTTATCGATCATCCCTGTATTTCAATGTTGTTTTTTTACGATTTATGTTGGAATAGTTGTGACATAGATGGATCCTAATTGATAACTTTATTTTAGTCCGTTGCAGGTAGTCAATTCGAGTGACAGGAGCACAGATTCAAGTGGAATTTTTGCTGAATACATACTTGGAAAGCGTTTCTTCAGCTGGGATGAATTTGAGAGGTCATTAGCAGAATTTCAAAAAGTGAGGAAGTCATATAATGCTAACAGTGTAGTTATCCTACACTCACTATGTTCATAATTGCAGCAAAACGATGCCGGATGCCAGGTTTAAGTACGCTTATGTTGGTTTTAAATGCACTTTTGGAGTGAATCGTACAAGACGTGGATTGAAATTTATAATCAAGTCGTAAGAAGAAGTGTAATATGGTTTCATGAATATTGCAGGTCTAAATGTTGCAATTGCTCGTCTTCATTTCGCGTGGTTTTGCATCATAGTGAATACATAATTGCTTCCCACAATATGGTGCATAACCATCCATGCAGCAGGGTGTACATGCAGAATGACCCATGGTATAGACGACTAACAGTTGAAGAGAAAGAAAATATTGAACCACTTCTTCAGCAATCCCACTCATCCGATGAAATAATAATGCATGTTAAGGAGAAGTACAACAAGGATATAACTCGCATTGACGTTAAAAATATGAAAGCCGCAGTGAATAAAGGTAACGTTGACGTACTTGTTACATACTTAAGGTATTTCGAGTCGTCGTGACATTTTTGAATTCCTAAAATCCCGTGGGAAGTTAATGGAGTATTATTCCGATGAACCGATCAGGAATTCACTAACAAGAATTTGTTTTGCAACTTATGAGCAAATGGAATTGTATAAACAGTTCCCTGAAGTTGTTGGTATCGACTCGACGTATAATACGAATAAGGGGAAGTAAGTTTACCAATTCATTTTTTTTTTTTTTTTTTTTTTTTTTTTTTTTTTTTTTTTTTTTTTTTTTTTTTTTTTTTTTTTTTTTTTTTTTTTTTTTTTTTTTTTTTTTTTTTTTTTTTTTTTTTTTTTTTTTTTTTTTTTTTTTTTTTTTTTTTTTTTTTTTTTTTTTTTTTTTTTTTTTTTTTTTTTTTTTTTTTTTTTTTTTTTTTTTTTTTTTTTTTTTTTTTTTTTTTTTTTTTTTTTTTTTTTTTTTTTTTTTTTTTTTTTTTTTTTTTTTTTTTTTTTTTTTTTTTTTTTTTTTTTTTTTTACTTTACATTTTATTCGTAGACAAGAAATCCCATTGTGAAGAACTACTTATGCCGTCTAGTGCAGTGTAAAAGGAGATCAGAGTAATGCCTCTATTGTTCTCATTTTGCAGATTTAATTTCTACTTCAGAGTTATTAGCAGATTGGACGCTAATGTCAGTCAATATCTACAACGTCGTTGGATGCATCGACGAGAATTGTGGGCGGCCTGTTTCAGAGATAACGTGCTGACTTTTGGGAACGATACAAATAATCGTGTCGAGAGTTCCCACAAGCAGATGAAACGGTTTTTGCAAAGATCTGATAGTCTGCATAAAAGTATGCTAAAGGTGTATAAATGGCATAAACGAAGTTTTTCAATAATACAGCAGGAGGCGAATATTGCTCAATCACGATGCTTCACGTATCCCTGTTCACAAAGTTTAATCCCAATTATACGGTTGCTTACACCATACGCCGCGAGGAAGGTAATACGTGAATACCAATTGCGACGATGGGCTACTGTTGAGTTCGAATCCGTTGATTATGTATTTTTCAAAGAAAATGGGAAAACAGTGCAGGTTGATCTGAGTGCTTGCACCTGCACGTGTTTTACATTTCAGACCTGTCGGTACCCCTGCCGACACTTGCTTTTGGTCCACTTAAGAAAGCCGTATTTCACAGGTATATTTGCGTTTTTATGACTACGTTTTTAATGTATAATGTAATGTAATAATCAGTTCATAGTTATCTTAACTTTTTTTGTTCCACCTTTTGTAGTTAACCATGTGATGCATAATTGTAAACAATGGACGTGGTCACGCAACTTGTTCGCATCTCAAAGTACGTCAGCAGTTATCCCTCGAAATCGAAGTAACATATACGATACCAAAAAGAAGATTATCAATGCGGGTATGGACAGAATTAATGACAAATTTGGAGAAGTGTTTGCCAATGCTTATGCAGACGGAGTAATCGCAGGAATCAATCGTGTTCTTAATATGTAAATAAACTAAATTTTTGTCATAATGAAAATAAAATTTTCATGTAAATTTTGTTGTCTTTCAATTCATGTGTTCACTTTGTGAGCACGGCATGCTAGACCGGTGCTCTCTAGGACTTTCACTACTAACAATACGTAAGTGTAATTGTGTAGGAACGATGTCGGTCAGCATACGTGTTAAATTATAAGTATTTCAGTTAGCTAACGTGCATAAGTATCATAGTCATATACAAGTCTTTAGGGACAATAGTAGGCATACCCTAGGCACTGCATTCGAGTCGCTGTTCTTATACGGTTACGTGTATTCGAAAGTATTGCATTACTAATGTTTCACTTAAAGCGTGATGTCAATCCATATGACTAAGGCTGTTGACATGTAGCGTAAATTCAACTCTACACCAGACGAATTATTGAATTCGTTGAGCTTCAACAATCGTATTTAGATTTAGCTTACACTAAAATATGCCACCAATTACTTCGTCAGTTCTTATTAATAAGTCATGTCTGCACCTAGTCATCATGACAAATACATCTAAACTCAGATATAATAAGAAAGGTCTGGTAAGCAGGATATTAAATGTATTTAATGAAAAAATAATAACAAGCAAATGTGTTTACGCAGTCGATTGTCGGAATAATTTGTCCAATGTCGAATCTCTGTGACTGGGGTGATTGACGTTACCAGATATCTACAAATAAGTAAACAAAGTGTTTTTTAAATAGCTGAAGTAAGGAAGAAGTAATATTAAAGGTAAACGATTTATATCTGCCTACCTTTGCTGAAAATGGTTTATTTTCCTTTCTCATTCTTTGGTAATGACATCATTATTCTGGGGTTTTCACTGCAACACACATTATTCCTCTTCTAAAGGATAGCAGCAAGCATATAGTAATAATTTCAAATTTCGTTTAAACCAATGTTTACAATGAATGCATGTCATTTCTACAGGCGCAATAAGTTATGTTATAAACTGCAATCGTGAAGTATCATGAATTATAAGAGTTAAATTGTAAACCCTTAATAATGAACACCGTACATTTGGCTAAGTGCTATGTCGTTGGAATGTGAGTATACATCTGCAATGTTTAATGCCAACCATATTGGTGTAAGGATAGAAAATATGATGTTTTCTATGAAAATACAGCTTTGTTCCAACACTGCTGTTGTTGTGTTTCTAATAAAAGCAAATAGACTGTAAGCATAAAGGCATATCCAGTTAACATAAAATGCAGTGTAATAGTGCACAAATGAAAAGACCATAGTGAAGTAAATAAGTGATACTTCAGTGAGAGGTAAATTGAAAGATCTGCAACCTTATAATATGGAAGACAACCTGACATGTAAGATGTCTCACAAATTTCAATAGGGCCTGTGGGGTACCATGGATGGTTTGGCGGCAATCGCAGCTTTGGAATAATGAGTTACAAATGCTAAAGGTAACAACCAACGAAACTGTAGTAGTATTTTCTAGCTGTTCAGCATTTTTTCCTTTAATGCAGTTTCTTATCAACAGTTTGCAGTATTCAGAACATCACAAGTTGCTTACAGATAACTTGTTAATAATAACTGCGTTAAATATATGAGCCATAAGTGCATCTTCCACATCTTTCATAGCCACAATTAAGTCATTAAGGATCTCACAATATCTTAGTGATGTGAAGCAAAATAATTTTTAAGATTGATATAACCTATGTAACAGGTGTAGTAGTTGTACGACACAGCCGCCAGCTACTAATCGACATAAATCTGGTACTAATTTTAAGTACTCTGACATTTGAGAAGGACTATTTATACTATTCTTCCAGACACAATGAACACTGATGTCAATATACTCTGATGCCATTTCATGCACTGAGAAATTAAGGCCTTGTGAAATTCCATGTGCAAATGTCAATTAAACTATTGTCACATCTTCGCCCAAGCACTTTTAACTAGGAACTTCATCTAAATAGATATAATAACCAGGAAATTCAGCAGCCTGTCTCATTCATCGCATAATGTCGTCAATGTGTTATGGAATATTTCAGTCATCCCGGATGATAACAGAAAAGTTTAACATGTTCAAAGCACACATCTAACCTATGTCTGCATGCTATTTATCTTTCATAGGCCAGATTCTCATAGATTCACTGGAATGACAACAGCCATTGACTGCAGTATATTTACAACCTTAAGATCTGAAACAACTGGAAAATAAACAAACCCTCAACGCACTATAATGCAAATAATAGTCTTTCTATGCGAACTTTCTTAAAAAGGATGACTTCTTCATTGATAATTCGTCCGAGCTATAATATACAATTTTACGCTCTACTAAGAACAAAATACAGCAAAATACTGCCATCCGGCTACATAAGTCTAAAACTAGTCAAATATAATCTATTTCCAAAAAAATAGGTGATTATAACGTCTGTTGACGTGAGCGCGGTAACCGATGGCATTGCGCGATAACACCTGGTGTCGGCCTATATCCTCACTCGAAATTTTCGTAGCCCAAGATTTAAGCAGGCCGCCAGATATATATATATTATGTAGGTTAACAATGAGGATAACAAAAGAACTTGAAATAAACGAAAAATCTATTCCTAATCGCTACCCTAACCCTAACCCCAAAACCCTAACCCTAAACCCTAAACCGTAACCCTAACCCTAACCATTGTGCCACCGACGCACACAATGACCGTAACCCTAACCACAATACTCGCCTTAACCCCTATCCTAACCCTAACGAGATGTTAACACATTGTCCAAACAGTAATAAAAGTGTTATCTGGGTGAAACTTGCTCCTTATTTGATGAATAGGGTTGATATTTCAGCTGTGATAATGACAGGAGCCGTTAGCCAACGACTAGCATGCGTTCAAGGTCATTTGAGCGTTGAAGGTTTTGGGACGCTATTTTTAAACTTCGCCGATTTCACTACCACTGGCCCCTGTTAGGTAGGATTACGGCACCGTTTTTAAGCAGTGTTTTCTTGATAGGTATATATGGTGGTCCTAGCAAGCCCAGCAGTTACAAAGAGTTATGCATTGACTTGGTATCTGAACTGAAGGAGATATTAAGTCAAGGCATACACATTACCAGACTTCATAGGCATTTCAACGTTCGTTTAACAGCCGTCATCTGTGATGCACCGGCTAGAGCGGACTTGAAGTATATAGAAGGTCATAATGCTAGTTCAGGTTGCGACAAATGCACAGTCACTGGAGTTAAAGTTGATGGAAGAATGATATTTGGAAATGGCTTCTTCCCAATAAGAACTGACGAAAGCTTCCGTCAAAGGATGCAGTCAAGTCACCACCGTGGAGACTGCATTTTTGAGGAGTTAAACATTGATATGGTTAAGTGTTTCCCCCTTGATCCAATGCACCTAGTGTATTTAGGGGTAGTAAGGAAGCTTGTAAGTCTCTGGCAAGACTTAGCTAAAAAGAAAGAGACGCACGTGGACCGTATTATGCTAGGAAATATTGACGGGAAGATATTAGACTGTTCCGGAATGACACCCAAAGACTTCCCGAGGAAATGTAGGGGGCTAACCGAAGTTAGTCGGTGGAAAGCCACAGAATGTCGTCTGTTCCTCCTGTAACTAGGACCAGTTGTACTTAAGGACATAATGCCACCGGCTATTTATCGAAACTTCCAAAGATTAAGTCTAGCAGTGTACCTTTTGTCTCACCCTTGATTTCATAGAAATTACTTGGAAGGTTGCAGAGTTGAGTTAATCAACTTTCTAAATGAGTTTGAGGTTATATATGGTAGAAAGCACTTAGTTTATAACATCCATTGTCTGCAACACTTGACCGAAGATGTCAATCAAATGGGACCGTTGGAATCTTTTTCGGCCTTCCCATTTGAATCTTATATGCAGACAATAAGGCGATCAATACATTCCTACAATGCAATCGCTAAGCAAGCGGCAAACCGTTTTGCTGAAAAGGTGCTCCACGACTGCAAATCAGGAGGAGTACGCAATGAAGTTTTAAATGAGTGTGAGGTGGATACACGTAGACAAACAGTTAATACTAGGAATACACTCATTACTTCCTCTTCACCAGAT